CGGCGTACCCGGGACTCCATTGGTAGCTGTGGTTGCTATTCCTGTCTTGATTTTGCTCAGTCCCATATCGCACAGTTTCGTCGCAACAGATTTCTTGTCAACTAGGACATTTGCTGGCTTGATGTCGCGGTGCACTACTGCAGGTTTCAGTTGATGCAAATAGGTCACTGCTTGACATATTTGTTTGGCAACAAGGACTTTGCCTTGAAGCAGCATTTCTCGATGGCTGTGTGCTTCAGAACTTTTATCACAAAATAAAAATATCTTCTAGGTTAAACCCGTCCACTAATTCTGACACTATGTAAACAGAATTCTTGAGCAGGGACATGGCCATTATTTGGACGATATTGGGATGGCGAAGCATACTGTGTACCTGCACTTCTGCTTCAAAAACAGGTTGCATCCTTTTGGCATTTCGCAATTTTATATGTTTCAATGCAATCGGAGTTCCCGCCCATACACCTTTATATACCACTCCAAAAGAACCTCTTCCAATTTCATCTCTTGAGTTGAAGTCAACATCCTTGATGTCAATGATTGGCAACTTGGAAAGAAGAAGACTAGAATCAGCATCATCGTGAACTTCTTCTATTCTAGGCAAAGGTTTGGATCTCCAAGGCTTAACCGCCACAGAATCTGAGACTTCCGCTTTTCCTTTGCTTTGTACTTCAACCTTGTAATCCCCAGTTGCACCAACCGGAAGGCAACACAAACCATGTCCTTCTTTGATTATTTGATTATTTCTCCATCAAGATACCATTTATAATAGGCAGGGTCTCCATGGCAAGCAGCAACAACACATAGTAAAAGCTTGTTGTCGTCATATCCCCAAACTTCAGAGGGGGGATGGAGAATGATTTCATTTGATGTGTGGTCCATAGGACACTGAGGAAAACTGAAACTTTCTTCAGACACTTCAGACTCTGTATCGGCAAAATTTCTCTTGATATAACAGGTGTTGCCTTTTGTTATCTCAGTTACTGTAAAATTGTTTTCTAAGGGATCGTAGTTATCTAGTTCGGTGTCTTGTGTGAATGGATCATTCAAACACTGTAGGTCGTAGCACTGGTGTCTACATGAAGATAACGATCGCATGATAACTTCAGAGTATGATGACTCTTTAGTTTCTTCGTATGTGATATCTAAGACATTGCTTTTTACGTCAATGTAGTCGCCTTCTGCACTGTAAACACCATACTTTGGAGTAGAAACGTTGGTCATTGGCTCGTACTCTGACGTTGGCGTTTCTTTCTCATCGCTTT